TGGCCGACAATGATTATTGTGGAGACATTTAGTCACGTACGAAGTCACAAAGTAGTTTATCGGATTAGAAATACACATTTGCTGGTCAGACATTAATTGGTTGAGTAAGTATTACTAAGTATATTTTATTATGTTAAGCTGGAAAATCCAGTTACCAGTGAGCTCTATGCCATGAAGATGGTTACCAACCTGTTCAAATTTTATGATATAGTCCAGACAATACGTACTTGCTCAACATAATTACGTGTAACAGAGGAAAGAAGTGGAAGAACGAATGAACCATGATGCGTCCATACTCTCCAGTTTCACTGTAACTTTTGAGAGTTTTGATAAATTATTCGGCGCTTGATAGTCAGTTTACAATAGTAAAATGGTGATGGAGACTACTTGTAATTTTATTGATAATCTGTGTGACTTCACAGACTATATAGCAGTGTTTCACCTAAATCAACACAAATTAGACTAGATATTAGCACCTAAATTACCGAAGTCATTAGGATGCGAAATTCCCGTAAAAGTGTGAAAGCCATATAGTAACTGGTTGGCGGATAATGCACAATCATCGCTTGAACACTAAGTGTTTGAATATTTAAGAGCTTTAAAAAGATTTGTAAGTTTTACCGAGTGATAATACTCTAATAAATGTGATCAATGGAGCTGACTTAAAGGCAGATCATTCCAATAATTTACTAGCATCTGGCCATCAAAGTGACATTTATCTATTCCAGTCAGGTTGATATTGACAAAACAGGTAAAGAAATTGATGCATAATGAATATCTTGTCATCCGATCAAGACAAATTTACTCAAGTTAGTATGTAATGATTCAATGCCAGTACATTTGTCTTTACTACTATAGTAATAGACTGTTATATCTTGAATGTTGATTTCTTGATATGCCGCGTATAACAGAGCACTAGAACACCAAAACCCTTCCAAGTCGCAATAAGAAGACAGAAGACTAATAAAAGGAATATTATTCCAAACAGTGTCAATTATAGTACAAAATTGTCAGGTATCTGTGGTTTTTAGTAAGAACGAAATCATCATTACAGTCTTCCAATCCGCATACAGGGGACTTTTAGCATTGTTCAATCGGTAAGCTACATGTAGGAATCCCAGAATATTCTTCCGAAAGGTAATTAGATGGAACATCTTCGGTTCTTTCTGAGCCTCTCACAGCTTCCTCGAGTTCACCCGTGGTCCGTCGTCGCATAGCCTCGATCCCAAAGTCTAGGATTTGTCAGTGTGAATACCTAATCTATAAGATTTTACTTGGAAGTCACATCACAGTCTACACTGACTCGTCCTATCGTGACGCTTGTCAATATGACATCTAGCACTTTTGCGGAACGTATTTGGGCTGAGGAGAGAGTAATATATTCGATGAAAATACAGGAGGTCATGAAGAGTGACTGCGTCTGCATGACCGACCAATGCCGTTTCGATTCCTTATTGTCGCGTTCATCGTCTGGTCATTATACACTTAGCTTCGAAGGTCGTGTGGTTGAGAACCAACACAACTACGCAGCTCTCATATCAGAAGTAACATGAAGTTGGTCCGATACGACATCGAACGGCGTTGTTGTGAGCCCGAAGTTACCAAATGTATAATACGAACCCTCTCGGCATCGATAAAAATGAAGGATAAATAAAAAAGGCGGCAGCAACTAATCAAGAAATATTTGCAGTGGCTTTAAAAACGTTCGGTTCCGTTCTTAACACTCTGAAAACAAAAATTTATTTACTTAGATTTTTGCGGCCAACTCTTAACCGATCAACCTAGGTTGTTATAGATCCAGTGAAAAGTGTTCAGGGTGGTTAAAATATATTTTTAATTCGAATGGCACAAAGAAAATACAATGCAACACATATTCAAGCCAGGTCAACATATATGTCGATGAGAAATATAGCAAGTGGAAAAACTCCGCAGAAAAAAATTTGAAGGTCAGAGCATGACTTATGGTACTGCGGTTAGGAGCATGATGTGTATGATATATAATTTTCATAAACAGTTGCTGTAGTTACCTTATTAACATTCGTAGATATGTAGTAATGATAATCAGAAGTAACAAGTGTCAAAACAATGATGAATCTAATATGGTTCCCCTGAAAACAACACACTTTCTCATCGCAGTATGTTGTCATTTAGAGCAGTTATATGTGTTTTATACTAGGAACGATCTTAGGACTGGTTCATATGTAATATATATAGCTAGTCTACATGTGAAATTATCTACATGTTAAGAAGTATCAAAAACATGGTAGATCATCCAGAATACTTAAACTTACCTAGACTATTTTCGAAAGTAAGATTATCCAATAGATTTGACGTATAAGAAGCCATCCATGACTAATGATACAGACCCAAAAAGGAACTACATTAAACTGGCAGTACTGTGACCAATTCCTGGGTGTGAATGATGAATGACTTTGTCACTCAGTTGATTCGATAAAAATCCAGAGTCCCAATAAATACATGGCTCTCACCATACGAATAACCAGAAACGAGCTCAAGATTGTAAAAACTATGTAGTCTGAACTCACCCTAAGTTCCTAAGATATTGGCTGCGTTTTTTAGAAGTGGAGTTTGAAAAGCATAAATTAGTCGAAAGGAAAGATATTAGGAGATAGTCCATAGTTTATGGTGGAGTGAACTCTTATTTGGGGAAACAAGATAAAGAATTAGATCATGATAACTACTCAACCCTTGCTCGCATTAATTGTCAGACTGTGTGTATTTACGTGGATTAAGAGCCATATTTGCTAGCTGTTGCTTTAACAAGTCTATTTTACTGAAACACGTAAATGCTACTAAGGCTTGTTAACGAACCATCATAGCTAGACATAAATATGGACAGCCAGTCGTTAGTATCAATCGGGCTAGTAAGCTGAGTACTAATCAGTATTATAATATGATAATACACGCTAGCACTAATCGAAGGAATGTTAGAAAAATGGGTTAACATAAGCGAAATTCAGTCGATAACGTTAAAGTGAATGATAAATAAATTAAAAGTAGATATGCCGCAGTTTAAGTTGATTGGTTAAAAGTTGACCCCAAACAACTAAGCATATGTCAAAACAGTTGAGTTCAAGCATTCATTCACTTCCTCATTCTGTATAGGCGTTATATTTCCCATAATCTTATTTTGAGTGTAGAGAGGCTTTGTTTGTCTGAACAGATAATCCCACGCTCCACTGTGACTGCGTGAAGATCAAAATAAAGACCTATTCACTACTATTCTGGTCTCTCCTATCAATAACACGAGGGTTACATACAGGGACGAAAGGTTCCATTTAAACTTGGACTAAATTTGACTATTTATCCCCTGAAGGAGTGGCTTACAATGAGTTACAAAACGTCAAAATATTTATTTTCCTACTCATTGGAATACCACGAATATATTAATTTATTTATAACCATCTACCGAATGCTTAATTTATTCGAGATTATCAAGTCAAACCTTAGTAATGATAACTACTTTAAAGTGAGTGAGTTAAAAATTACCAGCTTAGGATCTGTTAATGCAAGCTGTTACATTTACGACGCTTAAAAACCATATTCGTTCTAAGCACTTTACAGCATTCCAAATCTCTAACTCCAGTGGCAAAACAGACACAGTGTGAAATCCGCATGATCTATTGTCTTTTTAAAATCTAACATCCAACAAATGTCCTAAAGAAATTGGATATTAACAAACAGAGGTATGACTTTCAAGATAATAAAATAAATGTGTGAATGTAATCGTCTAGGTTTTTCTAACCATTCGTTTAGTTTACGTTCCTGTCTGGTATGAAGTGACATTGCGTCACCCAGTTAATATAGTGTGGAAATCAGAGGTAATTGAATTTTTCATGCTAACACTAAACATTCAGAACTGTTCAATTCCTGGTAGTAGTAGTAGTAGTAGTAGTAGTAGTAGTAGTAGTAGTAGTAGTAGTAGTAGTAGTCAAGTATGGACCAGTATTCAAGTCTGAATGAACTCTGTGGGGAGAATCAAGAATAATGTATTTGCAACTCAAACTAGCTACGGAATAAATCACAAACACCACATACTGGCACAAGTAATCATTTTTAAGGATGTGAATAGTCAGGACCTACGCGACTGAGTTGTTGGCCTAACAACTAGTGCTAGTAATGCTCCCAACCTCGGATTAATGGAGAGGACAGGCTTGGATTAAAAATTGTCTGTAGAAGCTAGATGGTAAGAATAAAAGGTGAGCTCACTGAAAAAACTGCTTCGGGAAGTGTTGGATAGGTAAGTATTATACTTGGTTTTCTGCTATTCCTACTATTTACTAATAAATTACCCAAACTGTTTAGATTTTTATCATTCCTATATGAAGATGATATACAAGTTTGGAAGGTAGTTTGCAGTGATAGTGATGGACTGGAGAGATGCAGACTTATCGGATGAATGGTCACAAACTCGGTTCTTGATGAAAAACTGGAGCAGAATTGCATTTTTGTCGAGTAAACACAACGATACCCATCAGAACACTGTCGATGAGATACAACTGCCACAAGTTTAAAAAAATTATTTCACTTTGATTGTGAGATGTCACTTGAAATCGATCGCAAGCTGCATCACAGTGGCTGAAAAAATATCTTAAAAGTTGTGGTCGCTTTTTGGAGCTTTAGATGAATTTATGAATAAATGTTTCGAATATTACATCTTACCTATGTTGGACAATTTCGAATAGTGGATTCATGTATCTTGCTTCCATCATTTAAAGATGGACGCTCTCAAGAATGATGAGAGAATATATAACAGGCTTTTAAAACCGTCATATTTTTCATATGATGAGCGAATAAGGCGATTACTTAATCTGAGCTTAGTTTCGTAGAATGGGAGAGGATCTCATATTGGTATTCCGCCCTACCTGAACGTGTTATCAGTTCATCCAGTGAAAGAGCTAAAAAATGAACAAATGCATAAAACCGAAAAACCTATTACTTTTTATATGTAAAGCTAAATGGGTAATTATTGGGCAATTGACTTTGTGTAGCTAGCCTTGTGGCGCGGGGTTATCAAAATTTTCGAGTTCGTCATCATTTTGTAGGAATGCTATATTAGTAGCAAACGGGCAGTTTTTTAAGATATGTGTTCAAAAAGGGTAGTCTATTTTGGTCTTCTCGGTCATTTACACACATCAATAAACAAACCTATATATATGTTTAAAAAAGTTCGCTAAACTAACAATATATATTGTTATCCTATTAATTATATACATCTATTACTCCTTGTAAAGAAACGTAGGTCTCTCACCAGGATCCCTCATCGATCTGTGTCTTGATAAATCTTCCATAGTTGTTTCCAGTCACTATTCATTGTTTTGATGTCTGCTTCCAGTTCCCGACGTCGGGATGTAGCTTGATGGTTCCTGCAATGTGTATCATGCTCACCTTCAGCGTTATCCTCTAGTTTCCTCTCCATCTGGAAGCTGGTCTGTTCTGTCCCATAGTAGATTGTTGCTGACGGTATCTGGCCAACGGACACTGAATATCATGCTCAGAAAATTGTTTATAAATACTTGTGCATTTTTTATGATGGTCGTGGTAGTTCTTCAAGTTCTAGCTCCCCACAGTAGAACTGTCTTGAATTTCGTATTGAAGATTCTGACTTTGATATTGGTTGACAGTTGCTTCGAGTTCCATATGTTCTTTAATTGTAGGAATGCGGCCCTTGCGTTGCCAATCCTCACCTTTACGTTTGCATCGGATCTTCCTTGTTCATCGATGATGATATCTAGGTACGTAAAAGATTCGACATCTTCCGGAGTTTCTCCATCAAGCGTGACTGTGTCGTTCTCCGTGTTGTATTTGAGAATCTTAGTTTGTCCCTTGTGTATGTTAAAACATACTGCTTCAGAGGCTCCTGATACAGTCTTACTTCACCTGCGTTTGTTGCTGTGTATGGGATAAATGAGCTAGTCCATCTGCGAAGCCCGAATCCCCTTGCTGCGTCCAAGCCATCCGTTGTATTCGGTGCTTCCCCTAATATGTGGTGGTCTCCATAATCCAGCCGACCCTTAGAAGAAAGAGAAAGGAAGAGAGTAAGCAGCCTTATCTGACACTAATCATCATTTTGAATGCATCTATCAGAGTTTGTAGGGGAATATAGTGTCACCTACAAACATTTTTTCGAATGCACATGAATTTGCGAATTTATCCTTTCTCGTTCCTCTTTCTCAGTACATATCATCCCATCATATCTTCAAATCCGGTGTTGTTCATTCCGACTTTAGCGTTTAGGCCTCCCATCAGGATGGTCTGGTTCTTTCCTAGTCAATTCTCTACTGTCGACTGCAGCCTCACTAAACTAACCTTTATCGTCTTCATTGCTATCAGTGATGGGTGTATAGCTCTGGATAACATCTATTGTGATCCCTTCCTTCTCTGTTTTGAAGGATGATTTGGTGATCCTGGATCCATGAGATTCCCATCCTATAAATGCTTTACGTGCTTCTTTGGACGGCGTTAGAGGAACTTCCTTCATGCTCTAAGCATTTTCTTCATGACCATAGCACGACAGCATCTCCTGAATATAATCTTTTCTATCTAGCTTGGGTCCTATGGGTTCCACTTATCCCTATCACTGCCCAGTTGTATCCTCATTTCCGTAGTCATTTGATTGGTCCTCCTGGTCTCCCATATTGTCCGGGCATTTCATGTGCCTAAGTTTATTGTTGCTCTGGTTGTTAGAAGGCGCATCGGCCCCTTTACTTATAAAGAATCCCAGCTTTCACTGCGTCACATCATACTTCTAAATTAAGATTCCTAAACCCACATGGCAGAGCTTGAATGGTTTAAAAAATTTTTGGTTACCTTTTTTAGCAAGGTTCTATTCTACGGGATGGGGTTGCTGACCCCTTTCCCATCTACCTGGGCTTCGGACCAGGAGTAACCCTACAAGGGCTACGAGTTGAGTTTTTGCGATTCTATACCTTTTCACAATCGACTTTACTCCAACCACCAGCGTATCTTTGATTTTCATCGTCATTATGTTGAACGGAGATCGACTTGGATCTCGTGAAAACTGAACAATTTACCTCTTAAATGATCATATACCATGAGAAGCTAGGAACATCGGCTTTCCAGGTTCTAAGAGGATTAATCAAATAGGTTGATCTTATTTACCAAATAAGGACAAAAAATGATTTCAAGTTTTCTATACTAATGCCGATTGTTTGACTAACTAGTAATAGATCTTGACAACATCCTAATACGTTTAATATTCTACAGTACAAGTAGGTAGTCAGTCGGTCAGTAGATTACTAAAAGCTATTTCTTTTGTAGGTAATAAATTAGCAGTTATCATCTGACAGGCTACACAGAAACAATCCCATTTCTACAATCCGTTATTTTGGTCACCAATTGACTTGGATATTTTATACTTTGGCATGTCGATGTCTAACGGAGATTATGTTCGGATACCACTTTCTGGGAGTTTTGAAGATCAAGTGGACCAAGAACTTCAAGGGACTTTAGAACATAATGTAAGAAGCCAGTTTTACACCATTTTTCTCTAGACTAACATTGAAAGTCCAAAAACGGAATCAAGCCTGGGTCCTTTCAGCTTTAAGTTCTACCAACAGTACTTTGATGTTGATACAAGTCAGGTAAGTACTACTGCGTATACAAAAACCTTTTGTGATCTTTCTTACTTATTCATGTGGGGTATTGTGATTGAGAACAGCTTCTAAATCAGTTTTCGTGTTTAAATGGGCTTTTTAGACTCAGTACCAATAAAGTCTGAGACGGAGTTCATAAATAAAAAGTGCTAAAGATCATTTATGATAGTTTAAAATGCATTTGTACACTTAGGATAATTTGAATGTGTACTAAATTTACCAGCCTCGGTTACTAGAGCGTTTTAGGTATACAAACCATTTTGTGCACTAACACATTGTGGTATCACATCCTGTAAAATGAATGTGCGTAAAGCGATTTCTTAAACCGATATATAGCCGGCGACTAGTACATTGGACAGCTGTGCGTTCATTATTTAAAATATATTAAGCAATGATATATAGGATGAGTTATCAAAACACTACATAAAGTTATTTCTGCGGAAATTTTTTATCTATAACCTGATAATTAGCATGTTGACTCAAGCTTATTAAGTGTTAGCTGTGAGATGTGATATGATCTATGAACCACAATATAGTCCAGTGGTTATTATCAGTCTGTTTAAATGTTCATTCAGGAATCACGCATTTGGCGAGAAAATGTTATGGGAATGTGTCATGTCCCGATTGCTTTTGTCCATATTTTTCGCTTGCCCGCATAACGCTGAGAAGTGTAATACATTTCCTATAACACCTTAGTCTTTTGTGTTCAGGCAAGTTATTAAGTCATTGCTTGAGAGTGAAAGTAATCATTTCTATCCTTATTTTAACGCTGCGTACGAGTAAAATTTTGTTGCTAAAACCTTTATCATAGTCATTTACATCATTATGTAGGTTCTGCATCGTCTTGCCTCAGCATTCATACCTAATCCGCGTATAAATTTCATTCAACATTCTCTAAAACCTCGAGCTGATCTTTATGGTCCATTTTGGATTTCAACCACGTTGATGTTAGCTGCTGCCATCGGGGGGAATATATCCAACTATTTGCAGTCACGTCGTGAGGTATCTTCATGGCATTATGATTTTCAGAAAGGTGTGTTTCATTTTACGCATTGTTGCATTCAATTTGAAATTTCCGACATTTATGATTCATTTAGATAGCAAACAGTTGATCATTTATTATCCATAATTTTTGTTTATTTAGTTTCTTAAGAGAGCTACCAAACGCTCAGGAAACCAGTTTTTTTAAAGTAGATCCTACCAATCTGTCTGATAAGAAAAAGTTCAAATTTCATCAACATATATTCACATTATCACAAAGAATTTAATTCGATGAGTTAAGTGAGTAGGATTTACTCAGGGTCGTAATAGTATTGCGTGTATTAGGTTGTAAATTCACTTTAAAAAAAAAGTTTTTTCAGTACCTGAAAGTATTGTAATAAAGCAATTGAAATTAGTTAACATAATGATTTCATAATTTCAACCAGTTTACTATAAGCCGTTCTTAAGCTTCATGTTTACTTGTGTAAAGTTCCATTAACCGTGCAGTAATGTCTCAAAGTCAAATGATTTAATAGTGATAGTTTTTCTTTAATAATTATTCCCTAGCGTCATTTAAAAGACTATATACTACCCCTTTACATGTTACGTTTCTCAATTCTTCTAGAATGGTCAGTAGATTTACAATGACAGCATGTTTGCGTATATTGTTCTTATAGGTAATGGATACGTAAAGTTTTCTATTTGATGGATTACTACTTCACGATTTTCAGGTTTACTATTTTTAAGCTTTTACCCGCTATTCTTAATTTAAGGGGACTCGCAATCATTTGTTTGATGAATGCATACATCAAGTGCACGTTTATTCACTCAACTTTGATCCACAGTCAGTAAGTCAGCGGCAACGTAGAACTTCGTACGTACGTACATCAGTACGAGTTGCTATACCACATCAGCACAGAGATACAATTGTCGATTCGAATCCCGTAGTGGTAGAGGTAGGAACAGTAATACTACAATCAAATCAGGTGAAGTGAGGTTTGGGCACAAAATATACTGGTTCAGGGACAAGTATTTTAACCTAAAGACCACTAGTTCTCAATCCCTGCATCTTCCCCTATCAGTTGTTATAGTGGTGTCACGAGATAGATCTTTGGTTTCAAAACTAGTATCTATAATATGGTGTCCACATCGACTACTAACGTTTGCATTTATAGCTAATCAAAAGACCAGTTAGTCACTCACCCTTTTTCATTTTACTGAGTATTAATTATCCACTTTTTAATTTCGTAGTTACGCTGACATCAACTATCATTTATGTGTATTGGTGGCTAACACCATTGCTGTTGCATGCAGTTATGCACATTCATCGTAAAAACAAGAAACCCCAGTCAAACGATGCTGAAAGCGATCTCACTGACCTATTGGAGCGTTCCGACACTGATTCATCATCATTTCATAATGTGAAAAGTGCAAATAAATTCTTCGATGTTCTGTCGACCTATGGTTATTCATTAGCAGTTTTCGTTCCTGTTGCAGTGAGTTATGCTGGTTACATTAGTGGTTTTAGTAATTGTAAATGACTTGTTTATTGATAATTTAGGTTATCTTGTGTATGTTTTTGTTGTCTGTCTAGCTGTAATGCATGTTCCTTGATGTTTACTCACTTTGAGTACCCTTGTTTACATTTTTCATAATAATAGCCGTAAACATTTCAGTGTAGGGATACATTTATCGTGTGATAGTTAAGTCATAATTTATAGTCAATTAAATGCTTATGTTGGGGTGTATAAGATACAACAACAAATACTGTGGTCTTTTTACTTCAACATATTACCCTGTAACTGACATCGTTTATTATTAATTGTTCTACCTTGTAAAATACTGTTTATACTGTGGTACCCATGTATTCCATTTTTTCCTTGAAAGATGAGAGCTGTCATTCACAGTTCTGTCTTCTCCCTTATTACTTAGATGCATTCGTCGTCTTCAAATTATCTTCATGCTGTAGTCATCTGACATCTAATCACGTTTGATCCCTGTCCATATCAAAGACGTCGTACCTCGATATATTTAGTTGCTCAAACTGTGAGTTACAACAGTTTGCACAGGGAGTCATTAATTTGTGTAGTCAGAAATTCGTAGTTGGAAATAGATTAATATTGTTCCCCACTATAAGATCGTTTACACGACAGGATATCCGAAGCCTGTAGTTCCTATCTTCTCTATCAACTCATAGTAATAATTCTGTTTATCATGTGTAAAAGCTCAAAATATGGGTAATGGCTTGTCAGATTGTGTCTTGATATTATTATGCTTATGTTCCTTTCATTGATTCACTACTGTATTGCTATCTGTCTTCTATTTGATCTTCTGATATATTGTTTAGTTACTGGTATTAGTTTAGTTATGTTTATGGGTTTCCTAATATGATTACTGAACTATGTGGTTTAATATTTTTGGTGCACTATTTTGTATCAGATTACAAAGTGCATCTAACAATTCAGCATATACTATTTGTTTCTAAATCAACCTATTTCTTTTGGATAAACAGCTATGATTCTGCATTACAAATACTAAACAGTTTCACTTAGTATCAACGTGTGCGTCTCTTCTGCAACTGTGATCTGGTTATCACATTATAATGAACTATGTTTGTCCCAGATAGTCATAATAAGCTACTTAGAACGTGATTATGTAATCAAACCGAATGTTTAATATTAAACTTGTAGAAAACTCAACTGAAAGTGGTGGTATCAGTTCAAGTAATCTTGGTTTCGTTGTTGGGTATATTTCTCCTTAAATATGAAATAACATCCGATGTCTAATCCGGTTACACTTAAATTTAAATACAACTAATAATCATGTTGGTTAATCTGTAACTGGATTCCGCTACTATAGGGCCTTCCTTCTCTTGTTCAACCTAGCTAGATGTAAGAAAACCACTTGGTTGCAGGCTGACGACAGTAGACTAATCTAAAGTAGAGTATGTAGGAGGTGATTTTGACGAGGTGAATAATTAGGTATTGTCAAGTTAATAACGAAGGCCTTTTGTTATGGTTGTTCACGAACGCTAAATAATAGCTCACATCGGGTTGTTTTTTGACGTGGTCGTTCGTATTACGGTAAACATAGATCGTGTTACCATTGGTTTCACTTATACATTGTCTCTTTTTTGGAGCATACCCTAAGACTCTGACCACACCCTGATTAGGGTCGTTTGTTTGAAAGTAGATCTGTTGTTCATTGGTCCAAATGTTCAACTTTCAGGTACTGGATCACAGAGTGAAATATCGCTTCACTGATTCACATTAACTGTAATGCGTGATAGTGAGGTCTAACGTAAGTTATATTTTCATCCGAAAAATGAAGACTTGATCTTTTGCACATGAAAATATTGTTATTCCAATTGAACTATTATTATCATTATTATTATTATTATTATTTGTGTTGTATTTTCCCCAACAATTCATAGATTTTATGGACAATTCAGATTGGTATACTACAATGGTTATTGTTCTTAGTTGGAATAGGAATTTCTGGGGCATTCCTAGTATTTGCTTTAATGCCTAGTATACGCAAAGAATATCCAAAGGTGAATGTATCTTATTTTATCGTTCACTTTTGTATTTGTTCACCTTTCTTTTGCTTATTAAATAGTTCTATGGGACAATATTTTTAATCAGATCCGGATAGCAGTGACTAACAGTGGAAACGCGGATTCACGTTTCATCATATTTGGGACTCACTAGATGGATGTACCTGGACCTCTGTGTTGATGTTCACATCAGAATTCAGTGCTCTCTCTTTCAAACACTCAACGCTTTGTTCACTTGATAGTAATATTAAAGCAATGCTCTCAGGATTCACATGCCAAAAGAAACGAATGAGTATCGATCCTTAACATCAATAACTGGGGATATTTAAATCCGTGCAACTGAATTCGATCAACTGATAGTTTAGCTTTTTCTTGGTATCAACTTAATTCCCTTACATACGAAGTCCTAGGTTTCTGTTCTGCAATGAGATGACAAATCTAGACTAATCTTCCATAATGTATACATATCTTCATTACAGAATGTGAATTCCTGGTTATTATAACATTGATGTTTAGCAATATATAAAGATAATTAACTTAAATCAGCATATGTATTTGTACTCCGTGTTTAGAAAACCATTCATTCAACATCTTTTTAATGAATATCAAAGTCGGTGATTACATTCCATAGGATTTAATCACAAAATAAGAGAAAGTAAATTTATTAGTTATCTAAACTAGTCACTAAAGTGAAAGTTGAATCGCGTAATTATCCGTTGTACAAGTTACCTTGGCTTGCACTCTATGGAACTGATACAGATTTAAGCATTTCTGTGTGAGGAACAATAGCATCCTGTACTCAAATGTTTCCATCAGTATATTATATTTCTTTTGGAACCCAAAAAATATTCCGCATCAAAGTTCCTAGAGGCCCAGAAACTGTAGGAAACGTCTTAGCCAATCACCGTTGAATAGAATCTTCTCAGTAACATCTAGAAAATGCAGAATCATGTGCCACCGCTTTGGCTGGACATTTACTTATACTACTAATATACTGCTAATTCTAAAATCGTGTTTAAATCCATTAATAACGTCGTTTTTTCTGTACAAAGACGAAGTTCGGATTGGAGCTTTTACTCGCAATTCGCACTTTCCCGTGTTCTAGATGACGTGTAGAAGTTATATCGGATATCGGAATTCGCTAGGAAGACAGTTCAAACATGTTGGTTCATTATTCAAAAAGGATACAATTTTTTTATATTTATTTTAGACATGTTTCAAGGTTACATCACCGTAAATTACTAACAACCTATTTTTGTTTTCAGCTTGCAACACCAATAATGATCATTATAATTGTAGTACATTTTGGGTTTTCATTAGCTCTAATGGTAAGTTGTTAAAATTCATGTCGTTATTTTTAAAATAATTAATTTTCAGAATATCAAATATTTAACGCATAATCATTCGTAGATAGATTTCCATTAAAAACACAGTTTACATTGTTATTATCTAAGGTCCTTTTACACTGTTATACTCCTATTTATCGAATGTGTCGTAAACACTAAACAATAATATATATTTAAACTACACATTATGAAATCTACATTAAGCCTAAGCTGATTGATTAGTTATTAAATCTCTCAAATTTTTACCACTTAGTCATTGGTTTGAATCCGTCGCCATCTGATTCGGTTTGTGTAATATTACTAACCGTCATATAGTGTTATTCAAAGCCTAGTACATAAATGTGATAAGAAAAAAAGTAAATGAATAAATAACGTGATTTTAATTGTGCCGAATCTTGGAAATCTCTATATGGAACTCAATTATTTTAGTTTTGTCGATTGGCTAGTAATTAAGCGTTTCAGCCAATAATGTATTTATTGTTTGGATACTGTAGCCGTATCGGTTACCTGTATTTGGTGATCGGTCTCGTATATCGTGATGGCTAAATCAAGCTATATTGATTGTAACACTTTCAATTAGGGTCCTATCATACCAAGGAGAGTAGTAAAACTTAAATCGGAGAATGAAGTTGCTTTGTTGGCTGTACAATGGTGTGACGGCACTGAGGTGTTGTCAAGACGTTTTTACCCTCTTTTTTCCATTGTGAGGTGACGAGGTTACTGCAGATTCCGATTGTTTATGGAGGAACGCCTTACTGCCACCAAACCTCAATTAGGTCACCACGATACTGAAACTGACCAACACATCAAAGGATTAGCTGCGGTTGGGGGTCGAAGAGTGGATCATAATAACGCCGATCTACTCACTTTTTATTTTCCTTTACATCTTGGTTTTCGGTATTCCTTTTGGCATACATTTTCATCCGTTTTCTTGAATCCTTGTTTATAATATCCATTTTTACTCATTATCATTGCTACTTTATTATTTTGACTATTTTTCCATTTATCTTGTTATTTCCATCTCAATTTACTGTTATGGTCTTGCAACTTGAGTTAACGGACGTTTATGCCAGTGTCTACATTGATTATTATTAGATGACTGAAAAAGCCGCTTTTGGTGTTCTCATTTACTTCTTGGAATTACTAAACTACAAAAGTGTCTACTGACAACCACATATTTAGGTCGTGGTTTTTTCGTCATTATTATCACCTGATTGGTACTTACACCCGTTACCCCTCGTGGAACATAGGCCGCCGACCAGACTTCTCCTTTCCAGTTGTTTCTAATTGCTACTCATTCCTTCGGTGTCTACCTACAGTTTCTGGCGCAGTGTCGTTTGGTCTACCTCCTTTCCCTTTGCCTCGGGGATTCTGTGTTAGGGCTTGCTTTGTGATGCAGTTTGACGATTTCCGCCTTGTTTCCTATCCACCTTCAGCGTCTTTCCCTAATTTTTTCTTCATTTGGAAGCTGGTTTGTTCTCTGCCGGAGTAGGCTGATGGTGTTTGACCAACGAATGTTGAGTATCTTGCGTAGAATACTATTTATAAATAGTACCTGATTGTTAGTCGAAGTTTAATTAATGGTAATCTCAGTTTGTTCTTAACAGCATAATATTGTTTCAGTCATTAACCATTTCAACTGTTTATTTCTGTTATTCATTTTCACTCGTTTACTAAATGATGCTTTTGCATTCCTTATTTTTTCTCCTATAGATTGCCTTCTTTCATGGATCTCCACCTGTACTAGATCCTCTATCTCATACTGGTTATATACATCAACAAAATGTTTTGGAAAATAATAAACAATTGTCAAATATCACTGTATTAACTACTAATAAGCCAGTATATCATTAATTCATCTGTTATTTTAGCTTGAGCACTGCTATTTTAAGTAGGAAATTTGTTAAACAACGGTAATACTGTTATTACTACTAACACTACTATTAACTGTTATAAACCTTTGTACAGGTGCAGTTGATTCTTTTCTTTCTGTTTGTTTATTACTGCTACTGTATTGTACTATCATTTCCACAATACATAAATGCATGCATAACACTGTGATATTCATTGTGTTTCATTTTTATTTTAACTATTTTCAAAATATACGGATTACATAGCAATTGAGGTCACATTTTCTATTGAGTAGTTGAAAATGAGTAATTTAATGACAGGATGTTATATAATTCATTCGGAACATTATTATTATTATTATTATTATTATTATTATTATTATTATTATTATTATTATTACCACTACAAGGTATAGAAAGATGTGAATAATAATCGTTTAGTTTTAGTTATTTGAACACATAAATATTGGTACAAGGGGGCTCTAAATATATATATGCACCACACAATAATAATCGAGTATTATGACATTTGTTTATTAGAAGAAGTAACACTTATTTTGGGTTACATTTATAAAATGTTTTATTACTTTTCAAGTGTGTCTTAATATTTCATAATAAAAAGTAAATAGTATCTGTATTTGAAAAGTACAAGTTAATTGATATTTTACAACCTTATGTATATGTGCTTACTCAGAAAAAGTAATATTTGTTATATACTACTAACTTTCAGTGTTTTACTTAGTACAATTAACGCTAATGAATAATTGGTGTGAAATATACATTGAAATCATACACATAAGAAGTATTGAAACTATCGAATCTTGTACTGTTATAAAAATTCGATGCTTACATGTCTTCGCAAATATCCCTTATTGTTATCCTGTTATTGACTCAATTGACTGTCAAATCATTATACTATAATGATGAATAGTTGATATCATCCGGTCTTAGTTTTATTTATTTATTTGAACACATAAATATTGGTACAAGAGGGCACCAAATATATATGCGCCACGCCATATTTGTGTGTGTGGGCTGTGATACTGCCCGGGTGCCCAGACCGAAGCATGTGGTTTTTTAGGGGGCCACTCTCCGAGCCTTTGACCTAAAGGTCTGATCTACAAGGCAGTGGGGCATCGGAAGGAGATGCAGTCCCATGGTGGCCGGTGACCAACGATTGGTTCATACGCCATTTGTTCCTTCAGGATACTGGAGACCATGTGCACCATTGGTTTGGGATCCGGTTAAAGCGCCGAACATTCGCTTTTCGTCCTCTCATTTTCGTAAACAACACCCCCGCCACGAGAAGGCAGTGAGTAGGACTTCCCTGGCAGAGGCTTTATACGCTTAGCCGTGTGAGAGCATTTCGAGAGATAGCAGTAGCTCTAGAGTTCTAGTGAGAAACCCTGACCGCTATAGTCCAACTATGTCTAGTGTAAGACAGTTGCCCATCAAATACATTAAAAGATGGTTACGCGACATTACAATTTGGTTGAAGTTAAACATGTAAGCTATTGAATTTCAGCCCAATAGTCTACAAGTTAAGCGTTCGTACTGAATACCGAAGATTTTAGGCTCGAGACCTGCTGTCAGGGTTTTAGATACATATTACTGATAAGTCTCATGCTAGGACGAAGCAACTTTCAAGTGATTCCCGGTTTTCAGTGACTTTTCCTAACTGGGATTGTTCCGTGATATTTTAACTATTAAATTGGAAAAGTCAGGATGATTTTACATGATTAGAGCAAAGGGAAACTGACCAGTAGATTTTTAAGTAGTAAAATTATTTTAAGAGTAATAGTTGTCAGATAGTTTTAATAGAAAAAAAACACGAACCGGTATCCACTGAAAATATCACTACTTTGATTTTGTTAAAACTGAAAACTATAGTAATAAAAAGACGGGATAGGTTTGTATGATGCAGAAAAAAGGGAAAACCGATTACTGGTGAAGATTTTATTCATCCTCCTGAAGGAAAGAAACGACAGCAACTTATTGGACAAAATAGAATCATTCATGTTCAGATTTTACTGATATTTGATGATTAATCAACAAATAGCATACATAACTGGAAAAATGTGGATGCAACTGGAACTGCACAGCACTGGGCAAACACCAAACTGAATTAATATAAACAAGTACTGATGTCATGTTGGACAGCTATCACTTTGAGTTAAAACGAATTTCATACTAAGTATCGCTAAGATTGTAACATGGTTTCACGTTTATCGTATCTCAATGGGTGCTCTTCAGGAGTGTCGACCTGCGACTGTACACAGGATCAAACCTTTTTCTTCCAGTTCTCTTGTCTAACATGATGTCACTGAGTTGGAATGCAATATTAGACTTTTTTGGTCTCAGTCAATCTATGATATTAATTTGTCCGTATCCGATGTTATTGTTGAGCTGCTAGCTCACCCACTTGAACTTCCATAAATCTATGTGGAATGTCGTTACTATTGACGATTTGATTATTAATTAAATGGTTTGTTCGGAATTTGTTATGATTTAAAGAAAGTTGTGAATGGTTCATTATGTTATTGGACCAATTAGGACAATTCATTTAACCACCTCTTCCTTTGTAAATTTAGGTTACTTAAGAATGTATATAGTGATCATTTTACTAAATATTAATTCTTCGCACTTGTGAGCCAAGTCCTGTATTTTAATATTCCATTGCTCAGTGAAATATAAGCATCTAATGTTCATATAAGTATTCGCGTATTATTAATACAAATAGAGTTCTATGATCATATTAATCCACTCCTGCATTTCAGTTCGTTTCAGCTGTTTATTACTATTCACTTTACCAACCAAACAAAATTCATTCGTTTTCACTAACATTTGTAAGAATAGAATCTAACTCGTCTCAAGAACTTTGATATATTAGATTGAGAATAAGGGGATTGTGGCTAATGGTGAAAACCAGGATGTATGTTTCTCCCTATTACTCGTCAGCTGGATATCGAGGCTCTCCCAACCGTTGTTGCTACCTTGACGTGGTAGTCGGGCTTGCCTATCGTGATGAAGCAACCGAGCTATACTGGCTGGAACAACCGTTCCTCAAGGTCCTACCACGTCAGACAGGTCGGTTGAAGAGCGGTAAGACTAAAAGCAACAAACCCAAGGTCCGAAGGCGAAGTCGTACTGCTGACTGTACAGAGGTGTGAGAGCAGTAACGTGTTTCCTTCAGACAACTAGCATGACAGCGATGCTACCTTCCCACAAGGAGGGGTGGGGTTAGAAAAGGTTGACCCTAAAAATGCACACCTCGCCTTATCCCACGGATATCCGTCTCCGGCAATAAGGTCTCAACAAGTACGGAGCTAACACAAAAACTACCCATAAAAAGGTCGTGTGTGACCGACCTCAAGCAGTTGTCCCTTGGGCACTGCGGTCACGCTCCCAGGTCACTAAGACCACCTCTAATACAATTTCCTTTTCAGGTACCTCCAGAACAACCCTTCCACGGTGCGGGCAACCGGGAAGTGATAACCGCCCTCATACCTCTAACAGCACTTAAGACCACTGTATTCATAATCAACCTCCGTCTTCAATTCCTATTATTGCTCCTACATCGACATTCACCTCTAACCTTCCTTTTTCGGCTTCCCCCTCAAGTGTCACCATAGCCAACGATTCTAGTGCTCAAAACCCTGTCCCAGGTCTACTGAAACCTCGCTCCAAACTACACATTGGAGCCTTCAACGTGCGCACCCTATGTCAGATCGGTCAACAGGCTTCCTTGGCTAGAACCCTAGAATCTCGTACCATTGATGTATGCTGTGTCTCTGAAACACGCATACAGGATTTCAGTGTGGTCATTCACTTGACCTCACCTCGGCAAAACGGAGAGCCAACGGGATACACCCTCCGTGTACCTGGTGACCCGATGGCCAGTTTTCGTGGACTGGCAGGTGTAGGCGTAGCACTAAGCATGAGGGGGGAACAAGCACTGTTAGAGTGGATCCCCGTCAACAGTCGTTTATGTGCTGTTCAGCTAAACTGCTCCGTAAGAATTAGGAAGGATAGGGACACACGTCGTTGTCTTTTTGTCGTTTCTGCCTAGGCTCCCACCGACTGCAGCTCAGATGAAATGAAAGATGAATTTTACAGAAAGCTATCTGAACTTCTTCAGAAAGCTAAACGTTCAGACATAGTACTCGTAGCAGGTGACTTTAATGCCCAGATAGGTAGTTTAAACCGAACAGAAAGGCATTTAGGTGGGTATTTTAGTATACCGGCACAGCTGCAACTGCTCAGACAATCGTTTATTTTTAGCAAACCCCTACACCAAACCAACGATGGACTCAAATAGACCATATTGCCATCAGTCATCGTTGAAGAGGGTTGGTAGAAAATTGTCGTTCATTCTGGAGTACCTGCTTGGACTCCGACCATGCCCTAATACGGGCACGCATCTGCTTGCGTTTCGCTGGACGCAAAAAAGCCGCACAAAAAGGACCCATTAGAAGTGAATTGAGTAACGAGAAAACCAAAAGTAGGTTCCAGGAACAACTGAGGTCACACTTAGGTAGTTCTGAAAACGAGGTTGACCCAGATGTTGCTTAGAAAGATATACAAGCAGCTGTGGAAACAGCAGTGATGTCTATTAGTGATTTAGGCCACAGGATTACAAAGAACCAATGGATTCCTTCAAGGTCTATTGCACTGATGGATTCTCGTAAACTCATCCCATCGGGTTCTGAACACGATGAAGAGCGAAAACAAATCAGATCTAGGTTAAGCAAAAGTCTAAGGAACGACCGTGAGCGGTGGTGGGCAACGAAAGCAAAAGAGATGGAAAAGGCGGCGGCTATATGGAACATAAGACAGCTTTACAGACTAATAAAAGAAACTGGAACTAATAAGTCAAGTGTAAGTGAGATTATTTCGGAAAAAGACGACACTCTCATCTGCTCCCAGTCCAGATGTTTAGAACGATGGGCGGAACATTTTAGGGAACAGTTCAGCTGGCCTTCAGTTACTCTACAACTACCCTCCATTCCCAGACAGTGTGAATGGGACATTGATGTAGGTCCCCCAACTCTAGCAGAAGTTCAAAAGGCTATAGTTAATCTGAAACGATGAAGGGCAGGTGGTCCAGATAGATTGGCTCCACAGGTCTTTAAGGATGGTGGTCCAATTTTAGCGATTAGGTTGACTAATATTTTAGCTAAGATCTGGGAGTTAGACGTTATCCCATCTAACTGGTCGCAATCACTTGTCGTCCCAATATATAAGAGAGGGTTAAAATCATCCTGTGACAACTATAGAGGGATTAGTTTAACTAATATAGTATCTAAAGTACTAGCCTCGATAATTATTGGACGCCCAACTAAGACTCATGAACTGCAAACACGAGAGA